AAGAAAGTGTTACAGAAGACCTTGTGCAGATATTTCAAATATTGGGAATATTATTTTACCTAAGTAAATCCATCTCAGAAAAATGTACATTGATAAAGATATTTGACATATTTTATGAGTTGGGAGACTAGATGGTGTCAACTCAGATTATCTTATAAGTATCTGTCAAACATAGCATACAAATAATTAAGTAAATATTAGACTGAGAGCCAGATTGATGTAGTTGTTAAAGGCACTGGGCTAGAAACCAGAAAATTGTGAGCTCTAGTCCTGCCTTAGCACAAAGCCTTTGACTTTGGTGACTTTGGTCAGTCACTCTCTCAGCCCTAGGAAGAAGGCAATGACAAGAAACTCCTTTATAGATAGTCCTCAGGTTACAATGGCAATTGGGACCGGAATTCCATTGCTCAGTGATGTGGTCATAAAGTGCAACATCATGTGACTGCATCAATTAGCGACGGCAATTCCAGCAGTCCTGGTTGTTGTTAAGCGAGGACCACGCAGGTTCATAAGCAAGCACCTCCTGTGATCACAACTTCCAACTTCCTGTTGGCTTCCCCATTGACTTTGCTTGTGGAAAGTCAGCAGGGAACGTTGGACATTGTGATCATGTGACCGCAGCTTGCTGCAACATCATAATCATGAACCAGATCACAATTACGTGACCGCGGGGATGCTGCGATGGCCGGAACTACAAGGACCGGTTGTAAGTACCATTCATTCAGCCCTGTTGTAACTTTGAATGGTCGCTGAATGAAGGGTCACAACCCCAGGACTACCTGTACAAGCCTTGGTGTAGAAGGACATTCAGTGTTTTGAATGTGTGAATGCTGCACCCACTAAATTAATTCTGAAATATTTTGATAGGATTTTTGCCTATTTTAACTGTAACAGAGCTATGTTTTCATAAAAAGATAGACTCTTTTGGCCTCAGAAAATGATTCAAACATAAACGCTGTCCATTTATGACCTCATTTATGTTTGATAGAAACATTGATGTCACGCTTCAAAAATTCTGTGCATCCAGTAATCTTTTAAACAAATGACTTAATTAAAATTGACATACAAGGGGATTATGTAGATAGAGCAGTTGCTTACATCTCTACAGTTGACCACAGAGCAGAACGCAACACAGGCAAGCTCTAAACTGCTACAGCTTTCTTGTGTCAACCCTCTCTTCAGCAGGGTTCTGCTATGAGCTCTGCCTCTCTTACCCAACAGTCAGCAAAAACTACACTTACCTCTCACCTTCTTATCTGGCCCCAATTCATAAAAAGGCTCTGTTGGTGCAGGTGGAATGAATGTTTCATAGGCAGGCCTTGCTATTTGCAGGTAACCTCCTTCCTGAGCACCCTGCTTCAGGGTTTCTTGACTGCTCTCACTCTTTGCTGAGAAAGGAGAAATGACTTAAACATCCTTGTTAGAAGGAGGTATTGTGGTTTTTTAAAATTCTGTTTTGTTCTGTTTACAGAGGTTTTATATTATTTTCTTGTTGATGGCTGTTAGCCCCCCAGAGTGATATATGTATGTTAACAGTGGAGGTGCTAACTTACATACATTTACATACATTGATTTCTAAATAAATAACTTTTATATCTCACTTTCAACAACAGCTGGGGAAAACCACATTTTTATCGCTTGACCGCACTGTTTCCAAGCTACCTTCTGCACTTCACTGGAGCCCTCTTAGGCGACCCCAGCTCCCACCCCCACAGTCAATAATGCATTCTGAGTCTTAGCTACCCTTTTATGGCTTTTTGCCCAACTGGCAACGATTTTTTCAGATCTCCTCATAATCTCTTTTGTATATAATTAATAACCCACTTCAAAGCAAAGTTCTGTATCTTAACTCCATCAATGTATTTAGCCCGTGTATTAGAGCAACTGCAGTAAAGCCTTCTTTTCCTTAGGTTGCAATCCTGTACCTACTCTCAGATGGAATTCCTGTATTTTGCTTGCTTCTTTTTTAAATTTACTGTATGTCGCACATTCAGTCTTCCCTTTGTATCTGTAGAAGATATGTGGACATAAGCTGCAAGTGTTTGTTCACATTATCTAGTTATTTCTGCATCTTACAGAAAATAAAGGTTGCATTAAAAATCATCAATGGGGTAATGAAACCAGACGTCATGACCACTGATGGGTAATAGCAGCCCAACCTCATGGTGGTTATATGCCTTACCTCCTGGTTTGAAACAACCTAGAATCAGTCTAGAAGTAGATACTTCGGCATGGCAGATGCAGTTCTTGTCCCTTACCTGAAATTATTGTGTAGGTTGTGTTTGTCATCTGAGCCACTTCCTCCAGGGTTAACAAAGGTAGTTCCTCTTCAGCAGCACAGCTGTCTTCCTCCAGCTGGGTGTCAGTGGCAGAGAGATGACCTGTGTGGGGGATACCAAAGAATTGCAAATAACTTTTTCTGTTAGTACAGTTTGGGGGGAGTTCTTAATCACGTTTGTATTATGTTTATTTTAGCTTAGATAATTATTTAAATGCTTTCTTTTTATGCCTCTGCTACTTATTAAGACGAGTTACACTGGGAAATTGACCTTGAGAAATATTTTGTCTACGTGGAGGTATGGCTCTCTGTTCAGCTAATATGTTCAGAACAATTTGAAATGCATTAATCAGGGGAATCAGGAAAGAAAGCTGGAAAATTACTGGCTCACAAGCTGAAGCAACAAAAGCAGTACAATTTTATATCTGGAATTCAAGCCAACAATGGTCAGTTATGTAGTGAGACAGAGGTTATTAATTACCAGTTTAATTACTTTTATACTCAGTTACATCAATATAAGACATCTGTAACTGAATAGCAAATTATTAATTTCTTGGGAAATACTGAATTGGAAGAAATCTCTCAGGAAGATTTTAAAAACGCATGGGAGAACCAATGACATTACAAGAAATTATAGGGACAATAAAATCTATGAAACTAGTGAAAACCCTGGACCCAGTTAATTCAGTTGAATGGTATATAGAACTTTGATAGATGTCCTGGCACCTGTATTATAAGAGGTTTATGATTAATCATTTATTTATGTAAGATATTTACGTGGCCACCCATCTTATGAACCAAAACTCTGGGTGGCTCACAGAACAGTAAAAAGAAAACTCCAAACAATTAAAAAAAAACATCTGAAAAAAAGAACTCCTGGCACCCTAAAACAATCTTCATTTCCAGCCTCAAAAACTGCTAGACCTATTTGATTCTCAATAGGTAAGCAGTTAAATTTTGATCCAGAAGCACATGAGAAATTGACTTTGGGGAACAAGTGAAATGTGAAGCTGGAGGAGAAGATGTTCTATTAGAACACTGGGGCCAAAGAAGGAATACCTCAAGTCCATTGATTTATAATGGTAGTTATAAAAACTTTGAAATATTGCGTTCTGAATATGATTTCTATGTAACACATGCTTGGCAATAACATTTACTGACTAAACATGATGGCAGGATGCTTTAGCAGCCTCAGAGGTACTTGTAATCTGAGGATCCTTAAGAGGTGGAATGCTTGAAGCAAAGTGAACAATTCAATTTAATTAGGAATTAAAAAAGGGAATGAAGGTTGGCATTTGTTATGTAACTAAACTGTGGAATGAAGAAGTGGAAAATCAGCATCCAGGTTTTAAGAAATGTAACCCAGGAAACAGAGAATATTCTTTTGTGTCTATCAGACCCCTCAAAGAATGCTTTAAAAGGGTTGGGCATCAGATTCTTTGTGCTGGCACTGAAAGAAATTTGAGGATTCTTTAACTCCTCAGATTTGGTCTTATCCAGCCCATAGCTTTGTTTTCATTTCAAATCATAGATATGTTAATACAACTTTGGAAAGAAATCTAATTGTTAAAGATGTAAATATGGCGCCAAATTGTATTTCTAAAATAAGTAATTTGTCATTTTGTGAAGAGCTTCGGTTCTACCAATCCTGGGCCTCAGAAAAAAAGAGAATATTATGTAAATGGAAAGAAACCTGATACCAAGGAATTGATTCAGGATACGAGTCTCTTATCTAGTTTTGAAAAATCTGTATCTTCTAAATATGAAAAGATGAAATACTATGTCTCCATATGGTCTAGATTTAATGAAAAGCGTAAGGAATTAATTCTGTACTGTTATTAAGTTGACAGAATATGGCTCTTTTTTCCTTTAATAACGTTATCCTTTCTTTTTTTGCCATGTTTACTTTATTTTAATCACCACCAGTGTAGGTAGATTCTTTTCTCATTCTGTAACCACCACTGTACTTTCTTTCTGTTGGAGCTGCTTGTATTCCACTATTAAAAATTTAAAAAACAAAATCCCAGATCAACAAGGTAGGGAAGGTTCTTTTGTTTTGGTTTTTTTTACTGTTTACTCTTTCTTTGGCAGGAGAGAACATTGTCTTAAATCCAGAACAGTCTTTTCTATAAATATAGCATGTCCCTCTGTGGCTTCAAGGCAACCTTTGCCAATAACTGGCCTGGATTCTGTAGCCCAACTTTCCAGTTCAATAACATCAGCCAGCCAGACCCACCTTCACCTTGGCACTGCGAAGACCAGTGACCACGTCCCCCACATTTGAAGCAAGCATCAGAACTTCGGTCCACGAGCCTGCCACCTCCGCCAAACTGCTGCCCTTTTTTCTGCCACTTCTGCTTCCACACCTAGGAAGAATCGAAGACAGATGAGCCAAAGAGGGCCTGTCTGGTCCTTTCCTACATCACCGTTGATTTCAGGGCTAGTCTTGCTTGCTCTTTCAGTAAGACTTATGGCATTAAATCCTAAGAGTTGATCTTCCAGCATGAGAGAAAAAAAAGGTGACCCCGCACAGAATCTGGGAAACAGTTAAAGGCCTTAATACTGTATTGATCCATTACAGACCTTGGTCGTAAGGGAATTTACCTGCTTGCGAAGCTGTTTTCCTTTCAAGGTGTAACTCTTTACGTGGGATTTTCTCTTCATATTGAGACGGACAAAATTGCCACACTTCTTTGGTGGCAACCTGCGGAAAAAAAACAGCCTCGTTTCAGCATAAAGGCTCCTGATGCCCTGGGAATATATAGCTGCTCTTTTGTTCTGGCCTATATAGACAGTAGCAAGAAAGGGCAAGATATGCTCTGGGGGAGATGAGCGGCATATAAATTTAATAAAAAATAAAATAAATAAAATGCTGCAGTAGCAGCACATAAGCCAGCTTTCCCAAACCTGGAGCCATCCAGATGTATTGAACTAGAACTCCTACAATTCATGGCCAAACACCATGGTGGCAATAGACTGTGGGAACTGTAGTTCAAGTTATCTCTCAGGCTGAGGAAGATTTCTATGGATTAAGAACAGAAATTCTTTCCAATTCTCAGCCTCTGCTATTGCCCAAGGAAATTTCTTTGCGATTTCATGCATTTATGGAGATAAAACTTGGAGCAACTCTTGAAATTAATTGCAGGGAAAATAATAACATGGACAGAGATGTCTCTAAGGATCTGGTTCTCCCAACTGCCCTCCAGATGTTTTAGATTTAAATTCTATTTCCATGCTGGCTGGAAATTATGGGAGTGGAAATCTAACATACCCAGAAGACACCAGGCTTCAAAACTCTGCAGTAAGGCAGTGAATGAATATTTGACAGGAATTTGTCCAATGAGGAAAAACAGCCACCCTGTAATGGACCTTATGGATAAGATCCACATAATGGATAGTTCCCTTTTTGCACCAGAAATCAATGTGAGCACATCATCCTAACAAAGAGAACATAAAATGAAGCTGAAACAGGTGGGGGAGGGAGAGTCTTGCTTCAAGATATTTGACTTAAGCAAACTAGGGACAATGGTGTTCAATGGATGCTACCACTTCTCCTAAAATTTAGCAAGCAGCAGGATGTTTTTTATGCCCTGTAACAGAAAAAGTGCAGTTCCTCATTCAGTAAAGGGAGAGAGATACCTGCAGCTTGGAATGCTCGACTTCCCACTCCACTTAGGACACTCTTCCTCATTGAGGTCTCCAAGTACATTTTCAGAAGAAAAGGGAACCACCATTTTCTTTTCCTCTTGCACTTTGACAGTGTCCTGATCAAAGTCATATTCATCCATCCCTGGCTTTTGACTGACGTGGCACAGTTTTTTGACAGGGCAGTCCTCAACTAGCTCTGTAGTCCTTGGGTGCTTTGTACAAATGCCATCACGTTCAGAAATGCCCAGAGCAACATCACCACCAACTGCAGCATCCAGACGCCTCTTCTTGCAAGACACTTTCCCTTTCTTGGCAGGGGGAAGCTGCCCACCCTCCACATCCCCCAAAGCACCCCTCAGCCCTGACGAACCTCCTTGCAGAAGAGACTCCTCCGTTTTCTGGCTGCCATCTTTTCTGCCAGTCTCCAGGCCCTGAATCTGCTTGGTGGTGGAAGCGTCAGCATTGGTTTCACTGAATGTAACACTTATCCCTTCTGTGTCTGATGCCTTTCCTGCAGTTTGATTATCCGGTAGGCTCAATGTACTGAGGCCTTTAGGACTTTGGGCCAGGGGCTGCTTCTCTAACGTGTCCTGGTGACAATTTCCCTGGGGAGATTTACAATCTTTCTCCCATTTTCTTTTCTCAGCTTGGAAAAATGGAGTCAGTGTTTGGAAAGAAATGCATTCTGGCAATCCCTGGTATGGCTCTGCTCCATTAACTGGGACCAAACTGTGGTCTCTGATTAGCTCCTCCCTAGTCTCCAATTTTGTCCCTTGACACCTGTCTAGCCACCCAGCATCTAAACTGCTCAGTCGTTTTGTTACTGTCTGCTTTTGCCACTGAAACCGATCTGGTGGTGACACTCTTGATTTTGGATCAGGAGAGAGGAACTGAGTTCCAGTCAGATCTGGAAATGAAGAAGGAAGAAGAGCTGCACGTTCCTTGGCATTAGAATCAGGCAAATTATTTGGGTCAGTTTTTAACAAATGAACTTCTGGTGATGGGAAAGGCACAATGTTCACAATTTGAGGTTCATCCTTCTGCGCTAATTTAACTGGTTTCCTTTTGGGAGTGAGGGATCTCCTTAAAGTCATAGGACACTCCTGAGATCAAAAGTAAAAATCAGTTAGTAGAATCAGATGGATATCAATGCTGACAACTATCACAACACTCCCAACTTCTCAAATCTAACATTTATTATTTCATATTTATTTTGGTGTTGCCTGCAAACTCTATGGATATTTTATTTATTTATCCAAATTATACGGCTACCCATTTATCCAAGAAACTCTGGGTAATGAATATATTCTTCATAGGCCAAAAGAAGAACAATGTCATTTTAAAATTGGGGCTCATTTGACTAGTTTTCATAGAAAACTGGGCCTAAATATACACTTTCACCTCCTTTTCTCCCCTGCCCTACTTATATGGTCAAAAGAAGCCAAACAATCAAGACTATTTGTTGGGTTAATTAGAGTATAAACTATGACAGCCTCTAAAGTTATTCTTTAGTCATATCAGAAAATTATATTTAAAACCAGGAGATAAGCCTGGTCATGAAAAACCAAAGAAACAGAGGAAAAAACTCCCTTTAATTTTCTCTCTGCACTCTATTTCCCTGGTTCTTCTTGAGGAAGTCAGCTCTCTTGAGGTTTATTTCTCTATTTCTGGACTGGAGTGATACACCTGTAGAAGGCTATTTTTCTAATCTTCATTTTATTTGATTTTATTTCATCAGTCACGTCATGCTGCTATTTTAATATATTAAAAAACTGATGTAGATTTCACTTCCAGGCCAACTGTTGGTGAACAGTTCTGAATTATTAGGGCAGAGAAGTGCAGTAGGAGGGACCTATAGTAATTAACCCAAAATGAGGCACAATAGTTTTAACTTTGTTGACAGTAAAGCAGGAATAACTTTTTAAAAAAGAAAATGGGTCCCCTTGCCTCTTCAGCCACTTTCGGCCTCCAGAAGCCAAGCTACTTCTACATTCAAAACTACAATCTTTTGCATGATATATATTGTATTGTATGAAACCAGAAAACACAACAGTGTAGCAACCAAGTTAAGTATGTTGTATGCACTTCTCAAATCAATCACACACTTCTCAGACCTTAATTCTTGCACCTAAGTTGCATTTCAGCTTCATCCCAAAATGCTGTGCAGAAGCCTGAAGTGCCTCCGGATCCTGCTGGGTCAGTTTAGGAATCTTCTGGCCTCGATTCAGGTGCGTTCCCCAGGAATCAAAATCAGGTATCTTAGAAAATAGACCCAAGCAGAGAGAAGATGGAAAGGCAACTCAGTTGTTAATATTGGTACCATCTTTTCAAAAAGACCCAGACTGAGCCACAAACTTGACAATCATATTTTTGGTTGCCCAGTTGTGTGACTCCAGCTAGTGTGATTAGTTTACTGTACAGTTTACAGTGTTATGCAAATCATGACAGTTGGGTTAAATGGGTAAACCATGGTTAGGTAAACTAGGGTTTGTATTCTGTGCAAATACAACCAGTGAGTTTTGAATGCTGTATACAAAAGGAGTAAAGAAAATGTTAACTAGCCATAAGAAATATTTCAGGAAAACTGATACTGTGTTCATGCAACTCATTTAACAAGTCAACTAAAGACCTAGTGGCCGCATTCACACAACATATGAGCTTGGTTAGTTTTAACCTTGGTTTATTTTTTGTGGCCCAGTGTATTGTATTGTATGAGCCCATCCCATTTAGGTAGTTTATAGTTCAATATATTGAGTGAACTCATAAACCTGATTGTTGCAGTAACTAGGTTAAGCATGTTGTACAAACCCAACCACCAGGAGGTGTTGTTGAAACAAATTTTGCTTTGAAGGAAAAAAGCACGCAATGAATATTTTTCCCTTCAATATCAGGACTCATAGAGAACAACATATTTGCAAAACACAGTGGCCCATTCATTACCTTTTCCGATGCTGGAGGTTCCTGATTTTCTTCCTGGCAGGTCATGACAGATACAAGATGCCCCTTGGATTCCTTTAGAGCCTTGTACTCTTTGTATAGATCTGTGCGCAAATGAGATTTCTGAGCTAAGAATCATATACTCAAATCAATTCTACTGTCCATCAAATACACAATCTTTCTTTGGTAGCATGTTATCCAATTGTTCAGACAGTATGAGACTTAAAATATTTAATTATGTAAAAACCTATCTCTATGAAATATTGTTCAGTAGTTAACAGGGGGTCATTCTGTTTTGAAATGTCAAAGACCAAAGTTTCACAAAACATTCTGCTCTGTGTGAAAAACTGTTTTGAGTATGATAGTGGCTGTTTTAAAAGCCCTCTGAGCTTTCAAATGCTCAAAACAATCCACTTTGCACTCAAAGACATAGTTTCATATTCAAAACATGGGATGAAGGGAGGGGAGGTTTGTGAAATGTTGCCCTCAGAATAAATTTTTTGCATATCCTAAACAGTGAAAATTCTCTTACTAAATTAGGCACAAAAGCGTGTTTAGTTACAACTCATTGAAATTACAGTTGATAGAAGCGGGGAAGGAAAGATTTAGCTATAGCTCTTCCTTTAAATGATTGAAACCTTAGCTTCAATCCAGGAAAAAAAATCACAGATTTTCAAATTTTTGACAAAGTTTGAGCTGAGTGGGAGTAGCTGAGGGCGGATTTGAACAATGGTCTCTTTGGTGGCAGTCACCAGTGTCCTCATACTATATTATGACTGACTTGATACCATTAGTATTTTTGTTTTTCCACTAGTAAAAAGTTAAAGTCACTTTTAACAAAACATATAGCAATGCAATCAAAACGAGCAACATCAATTTATTTTTGTTATGAAACCATTTCAATTAGCATCTAGTTAAAAGGTTTTAGATAAGATTCCTACTCTTCCTTACCTCCTTTCTGATGAGAAAATGAGCAAATCATAACACTTTAAATGTTTGCAAATAACTATCACTTTCCACTAATCAAAACTGATATTTTATCACATCTGCTATCTCCATACACAGGAATACAATGTGCTTTGGAGAAGATTCATACTTACTTTTTATTTTTTCAGGAGCATCCAGAACATCTGCCTGGAAAACAAACACAAAGAAATAATTTCAGAAATCTGCCTGATTTCCGCTGTGTTGCAAATGGTTTAATCAGTCTGAATATAACAATGAGACCTGTTATATTCAGGTACCAAATCACATTCCAAATACCTTGCTGGGCTTCCTCTGGTGCTCCTGAAAAAAAGTAGTCTCCCATTTTTTCAGTAGGACCTTAATTTTGTTAAAAGGGTCCATAGCTCCATTTGGTAATTTCCCAAAAACTGTATGAAAAGACAGAATGTCAGGTTAATTAGTCCCAAGAAAACTCCCTCAGAAAACTTAGCAAGAAATAGCATGAGAGAACATAGAGCGGTCATTACAAACAGACTATATCCAAATAGTTCACATAAACATCAATCATCACACAATATTCTCATTCAGATGTTGATATATAACAGTCAACTCAGCATCTTTAAAATTCCACTTTAAAATATTTTATTCATTTTCTTATCGTTTAAGCATAGGTACAGAATTTTAAAAGTACTTTTTATCTTCTTAACACTTTGGTGGAACTGGAGATCCTTTACAGCAGACACACATCACGGGTGAGATGGTTTTGTGCTACGTGAGCTGGTCCTACCAAAGCTGTGACCACAGAGTTCCCATTTCTATTTTTTTTCCAACACATCAACATTATTAAGTGTAATAAATTATTACGACTGCCTACTTTTCTTATGAAGATGCACAATACAAGAGTAGGGGGGTTACAGGAACCCAAAGACGCTGTGCAGCAACTCCGTCTTTCCCTGGGAGATCTCTTCAAGGAAGGAAGGAAGGAAGGTGCTGAAGCAGAAGAAGACAAGAAGGGGACAAGTGGAAGAAGGTAAGCTGAGACCGCGGGACTGAGGCCTGGCCTGCAAATCCTGAGAATCGTAAAATATCGACCTGAGAAGGCCGGAAGGAGGGCCAAGAGGGTGCAGAGCATGAAGGCGGGCCCCCTCCCCTCCCAGGCGTCGG